ATGATTGTGTATCTGAAGCAACTTTCGTCAAGAACTTTGCAAATTTTCTTGAGGTTGCTGGATTAGTAGGGCACTCCGCCCCTACTGACCCCGACCTTTTTTCGATGGTCTGCTTCGCTGTTGCGGTTTCGCAACAGCGCCGGGCCCACGCCCATTGTCCTTCTTGGCAAATGGTCATTCATTTTGCTCAGTACTGTTTGGTACTGGGCGTGCCCAAACTACACTCGTATGCGTAGTGCCCTAACTTCTGACAACGATTGCACTTCTTTACTAGCTTGTTGTTCGAAGAGCGAGATCTCTCGATCGCAACATAACAGATTTCCATGGGTTCTAGACCTTCAGTCTCTTGTCGTCTCGGTGGACGAGAAGAGCTCGAGCTAGCATGAGTTTCTCTCTTGCTAAAGTCTTCCTGTTCCTCATCTGCGATTTTTTGTATAAAGCGTATCCAGCTCTAAGCGGAACAGGCGATTCCTGACGGGACCATCTGCGAGCCCTTGCATGAACACAGTAATCAACGTGTGTTCATGTACAGAGTTGGCAGTCATAACTCGGAAGGAGTCGTATATGCTTAGAATAAGCGTGCACATCACGATTACCCTGTTTGAGTTTCAGAAGCTCAGATCGAGCCCTGAACACAGCCCGTGGTGGCTCAAACGTTCGTTTGAGCCGTGTTTTGAAGGATTCGAGCGACTCATAAGCGTATAGGTAGCTCATCTCCAGCCCTTAGGCCCAAGTCTTGGCACGTCCTGCCAAGTGGGATTGAGTAAATGTTAGTTTCATTTGCTCATCGTCGATGCGACGTGCGTTCATGACTCTGTCTTGTTCGAAGAACCATAGTATCAGGGAGTCTTACGGGACTCCACTGTACTTGGAGATGTCAACTTTCATGACCTCGGGACGACGCGCATGCGCCGTCCCGTCCACAGCAGCATGGAATTGCTGCTGTCTCAACAGCTCCGTCTGTTGAGCACCGAGTTCTCTCAACTGCTCGGCCTGTTGAGAGCCTTGCTGGTGAAGCAAGGCTACCTTTTCTCTTTCGACGACAAGTTCATTTGAATGAAATTGGCTATAGCGGCATGTTGTTGGTCTCTGTCTAGAGACTCCAACATGGCGCTAACGACGAGTTCGCCTACGGTAGAACTCATTCGTTCTACCGCCCTCCATTCGATGTCACTCAAATGGCTGAAGCCTTCACGCGTGGCGTGAAAGCTCTTCTCATAATCGAACATGTTCATGTCGGATGAGGTGGTTGTGATCGCTGGACGGACTACAAAGTGCTACCAGGTGTAACAGGGCACGCCTTGTGTCAATTCGATACAAGGTTGCGTGCACCCGACGTCACGTACACGTGGCGTGAGGAAGCGCAGCGAAGTAGGCAGAACTCGAAAGTTCTGTCGAAGGTTAAAAGTAGAACTCTATTTAATATAGTTATGTTTCTTAATAAATCGTCTTTTGTCTTGAGCTAACTATATTAAACTACAATCTCCTATGTGGGTTTCTTGCTTACCATTCGTTGCGCGCGTCTGGCAGCGATTGGTGGTTAATCTGGTTGATGTACCGTGAACATCAACCATCAGGTGGAGCAACCCATCAAAGAAATATTACCCTCGAAGGTAATATTCATTCTACCTTACTCCTTACGAGTAAAGTCAATTGAACATTATCTAAATAGATAGGGTTCAAAAATTGATACGAAGATATCAATTTGTATGTAACGGGCTCACCCCGTTACAATATTTGATTTTTTATTCACATTTCCACCGATAGAAAAACAGTCTCGAAAAACTACGAAGGAAGATCACGCATTACAAAGCTTACAATTTCAGATCACGAATTATTACACTTGACTAAGGAAAGCGGTGAGCATGAGCATTCTTGCAGCCGCGTCCCCGTGACAACTAGATCTCAAGCGGCATAAAAATTGGTACCTATGATTCTAATGTTTGTCAAGAGAAGTGCTGAGTCAGGTCTGGCATCGCGAAGCTACCAACAGCATGTAAAATTAGTGTATTTTGCAGCTCATCAAGTTTTAGCGATCAATGCAACGATGGTACAGCTCTATCGTTCTTTTTACTGATGGAACTAAGTTCACAAACAGCGATAGCTGCTGTTCTCGTTCTTTTGCGCGTCCAAACAGGCGGGCTGCTTCATCATCTTTCGTAGCAAGTTGGCAGTCACAAAGGAAAAAGGGGTTACGAGTCAAAACATCACGTTGAACAAGTCGCTTTCCTAACAATCTGGCAACATTAGGTCTCGCGAGATACTGTCGATGCCTCGTAGTATCGTTTACGACAAGACTTCCATCTTGTGGTCGTTGCGTTGCTCTCTGTCACGATGTCACCGTAATTAACGATGGTATCGTGGGTCGAATGTGCAGCGAATCTTAAGCAGTAGCGTGAGACCAGAGTCGGTGATTTTAGCACTAGCAAAAGGTCCATTGTGTCGAGGGACCAGTTTGTTTGGCAGCACAACGTCGGTACAGCAACAACGCGGTCGCGGATTTCGTGCACATCAATCAAATGAACTGATGCGACGGCAAAACTGGTCGGTTTTCAACCTTTGGTTGGCGTAAATCATATATTCGCGAAGCCATTACGGTCAGTTTGCCTATTCGAACAGAGCCTGCACTGTTGTGGGGACTAGAAGTCAATATCCACCACCACGTGCTCGGATGAAAACATACGTGTTCAAACAGAATGTTGAGTCCTGTGGGCCAAAGGCAGATTCACGATTCGGACCTGCTGGACAGTGCAGCTGCTTCCGCAAATGGATATCAAAAAATGCTGGGATGGCTTGAAGCCACCAAATGTAATCGGATTTTGGAGCCTTTGCATTCTTACTTGCCGTAGCGCGGGTCAACACTTCGAGCTCGATGTCACGAATCACCGGAATTTTGCCATAAACGATATATGTTTCTGGCCAGCCGAATTCTTATCTTCCATATGGGTGGACAGATGCGTCTAGACTGAATCCACCAGCCTGATTCTTAATGACGTACATAGCTCAAAGACTGACCACAAGCATCTGCGATGCTTTTACTGCGAACAGAAAGAGGTTCCAAAGGTCGGGTAGACCGCCTGGTGCCGACCGCTTATGCCATGTTAATTCAGCAGCCGCTCCATCGACTGTTTCGAAGCTCTACTATCGTCGAGTCGAGAAAGTGGCGTTGTACGCTGCGATAGCACACGACCCGGCGACGAAGAGACGCTTGTGCGAACGGCGTATTCGCCAGGTGCGCTCTGAAAGGCATCCGCTTAACAAATCGAGGGAGAGATTGCAGCTTTGATCGCGCAACGAGAACTGCTTCTTCCTCACGTCTTCTGCTGCCACGAAGCGTTGGTCAGGTTGTTGGACTCACAACAGATTTGCGACAGTCCTGTACGCAACTGGGCATTCCGTTCAGTCTGAGCGCTTGATCACGCCATGGAACACACGCAACGCGATGATAAATCTGAAACAATTTGGCTTACGCCAACCGCTTGTGGTCGACCTGTTGTGAGGATCATAGGAGTAAATTGTGACAAACAGCCAGAGCCAAATTGCGTGAGTAATTCCTAGCTCTCACTTGGGAGAGAGAGAGAGAGAGAGGCCGCAATCGGCCACCGTGATATGAGTCACGTCCTCCCCACCTTTGCGTACGGCACATGCGTTGTCGCCGAGCCGTATTGCGCCATGACCCGTTTCTTGCTCTCCTTGCAGTTATCGATCCTCCGTCCATGTGCAAATGTGGGCAATAGAGGTCGTATTAGCATGTAACCTCTTAGCTGTTTTATTGAAACTTCGCGCTGCGGGAAGAAATCAAGGCTGAGAGGGCAAGCAAGAGACGTCTTGTTTGACCCACCCGCCAAAGGTTGCAGTGACAGACACTGCCATCAGCTAACATTCTCGTGTCCAATAGTTTGCACCTCTTGTGGTCCCACCTTGCGATGCGGTCCTCTACGGGAGGTCCGGACACTATCTCGCATCAAATCTACTGACTTTTACTCGATACATTAAATTTTCCTGCATGCTGTACAACCATCCGTAGAAACGTGGCGGTCATAACAAGAAAGCTAGTCGAGCTGTCACAGCTCGACCACACGCCGACGGCAGTCGAAGCTCTCTTCCCCGACGTAATCGTCCACGCCGTGAAGCGCCGATCGAGCGACAGGCTGTCCAGCACGGCGTGTTCATGAAGCTGTCCCAGCTGTTCCGGCCGTTACAAGCGACGATTGCCCCCGTCAACAAGCGCGCGAGGCGTAATCAAGCGCCAGGCGAAGCTGCATAGACAAGCCACCTCGACACCTCATTGGCTCCTCCGATTGTCGTCCCCTCGTTTGCGCACTCATCATTGCCACCACTGCCCCGTCTGGCCGCTTCGTCCCGATTCTGTCCAGCTTTCGTGGCCTCAGGTTGCCGTCCTATGTCCAGTCTGCCTCTTTTCTGCGTTGATCCGGTGGTGATGACGTCAAGTTGCGCGGATTCAAGTTGCCCTAAGGCAGTTTCCGCACCGTTTCTCCGCCTCTTCGCGTCTCCGTCGCCCGCGTCCCACTTGACTGACTGACTGACTGACTGACTCACTGGCTCACTGGCTCACATTCCGCCGCACCCGCTGCTCACTTTGTCTTTTGCCCAGAATGCCTCACCACTCATGTGCGACCACAACTGCTACTGCTACTGCTGCTGCTGCCTTTCCATGCGAACTGTTGCAGTCGAATTCACAAACCCGTGCGGCGTTTCTCTCTGCGTTCTTAGCGAAACCCATTTACACAGTCACTGTAGGAAGTAAACGCTCGCGAGCAGCAGCCGGAACGGGTTCCCCTGTCAAGCGCCAGCGGCTCGTGACGTCGGCCGCCACAGACGTGAGGGCCTATTGCCACGCGGCCGCTGCGCTTCAGCAGTCGAGCACAAGGGCTGTGCCTGCGTCAACGAATGGCAACGTGGACGCCACTCGACTGCATGACATATTGCGGTCGTTTCGTCTCCAGGCGCAGCGCGACGTGCGCGCTGGTCTCGTGGCCATGCAGACCCTCAACGGCGACGCGCTCGGGTACGACGCGCGCGTCGACGCTTCGACGTTTGAGGCCATGGCAGCGAACGTGGCCGAGCAGTACCAGCAGGTGGATCAAGTGCTTTGCGACGCAGGACTGACGGACACGACCACGGAGCGGTCGGTTGCCCACGTGGTCAAGGACGGCCCGCGCGGTCCCTTTGTGCGCTTTGCGACGGCCAAAGTCGCGCCGTTTGCGATGGACACAGTGAGTCGAGCCATGTGGAAGACGGCCGAGAAGAAGGCCGTGCACATTGTGAACGCGCAAGAAGAGGGAGCTGAGGCTTCGAGTGAAAGCGACGCACGTGTGTTCTACCTCAAGACCATTTACACGTTACAGGACGATGCAGTCGCGGCGAGGGGCATCTCGGTGCTGCTGCGCGGAGTCTGTCGTCGGTACGTCGAGGCAGACCGTGTCGTGCTGGTGTGGGAAGGCCGGGGCGACTGGCCCGAGAACTACATTCGCGACCACCCGAGCAGTGTCCCGATTCGGGAACGTGGCTACTGTGTCATACGGACGGTTCAGAGTGAGCGGGTCAAGGGCAGACGGGATGCCGCCCCGCTGAGTTTATCGCAGACTTGTGTCTGCATGACACCGGGTCTGTCCGCCGACATTGGCCTGGACAGTCCCGAGTGCTTGCAAGTGCTCTCGGACTCGGTGATCCCGTCGTACCGAAAGATCCTGGAGGCGCGGGAGCAGACGCTGGAGAATGCTCTGCTTGACGAGATGATTCAGTCGAGAGTGCGGGGACCGACGAAGCGATAGACGGAGAGGTGGTGGTGACCTTGTAGGATCGAAGATGCATGTCCACTTGTGCGATATATTGCGTTCTAACTATTTCAGAGCATGTACAAAGGTACTCGACAACACGAATGGCATTTAGTCGACGGGTAATAAATTCGATACGTTCATGATAACCATATATGGACATCCATGGCTCCCTGTTCTCACTTTGCTTCGAGGCTTTACTGAGTAACTTGTGCAAACTCTGCATGACGATCAAGTGGTATGAGTCCATGAGTTGAGCACCTTCAGGAACGCGGTCTGTCGAGGCAAAGCTTAAGAAAGCAGCGATGGGTCTGTTCTTGAGTGTGGAAGAAGATCAGGTAGCACATGCCGTCATCCTGTTCTGATGAAACAGATGGACTTCCGTTCTCATCGGTTTAGGCAAAGATTGTGTCCAGAAGGGATGTATTTGCATGTACAGCCAGTAAGTATCCTATCGATTGTTCACGAATCGTATTTGCAGCACGTTGTTGCTGGCTACACAGTCAGACAGAGTGCAACTGCGAGACCCGTTTGAAAAACTAGACTACCGAAAGCATGCGCCGTCGTCGCGAAACAGATACAGGCACTTCCATGTGCTAGGAACTGGTGTATCTTTACAAGCACATCTCGAGCGCTAACGGTCGAGAGCAAAGCGAACACAGCCTGCTTTTCTCACTCGGCAGACTGTGGGCTTTGCAAGCACCTGCGCAGTGGATTTTCGGTGGTATAACTGATTGCCATCACATGGAAAAAAATCACAAACGACTGCTGGAAACGACTCGTTTCAATTTCGTAGGGAAGCAAAAACACAAGATGGAATCTCACGATCGCACTTTCATTAGGAAATGATCGTGTCCACACGCACTTTATCGGTACTGTCTTCTCTCCACCTCCTTCCTGGCCAGTCTTCCCTCTTCTCCTCGCGCGGTGCCCCCTGCCTCCTTCTAGTACATCCAGCACGCATACTTATTCCAAAGCGCCCTCCTTCATCTAACCTCCAAAGTTGAAGTGGAACGTGCGGCCACCCTGTTGGAAGAATTGCGCATTGCCGAACGGCTGTTGCTGTTGCTGCGATTGCCCGTTGCCCGTAACGTCTTCGCCGCGGTCGTACATATCGCGCTTTTCCTCATCCGACAAGATCTCGTATGCTTCTGCAATGTCGCGAAATCGCTTCTCTATCACCTCGCGTTCGGCCTCATCCTTATCAATGTGCTTGTCCGGGTGCCATTCAAGCGCTTGTTTGCGATACGCTTTCTTGATCGCTTTCGCATCGCAGGTACGGGACACACCCAAGATCTTGTAGTAATTTTTGGTCTTGCTTTGCTTCAGTGCCGCTTCTGCCTGCGCCAGCTTCTCCTTAAACTCGCGACTCGAGTCGTCCAGTTCCAACGCTCGCTTTGCCGACCGAACCGCATCTTCGTACAGCTCGAGACCAATTTGTGCTTCGCTCAATTTGGCGAAGGCTTGAGCGTAGTCACCGTCAATGCGCACGACCGATTCGCAGGCAACACGTGCTTCGGTATAGTGTTTCAAATGCAGTTGACTCGCACACAACTGCAGGAAAAACTCCTTGTTCATGACAGAGTGCTCTGGGTGCATCTCAAGCGCAGACTGCCAATTCTCCACTGCATCGGCATGGGCACCACGTTGCATCGCGTCCTCAGCACGGTTCACAAATTTGAGCAACTTCTTTAGACTCCGGTACAAAGCCTTGATACCCTTGTGCTCAGGGTCCGAGTGCAACCCCTGACGATAGTGCGACTGTGCTGCCTCGAGCGACTGCTTGTCGCCCAGTGAGTACAAGGCTTCGCCACGCATTTGCAGCGCAACGAGGTTCGAAGGATCGAGCTTCAATATGGTGCCGAGGTCTGCGATCGCATCGTACGAGTTCTGCATCGACACACTCAATTGGGCTCGCTCCAGCAGCAGCGGAACACTAGAGATAGCCGATCCCTCGAGCACTTCAGTCAAGGAAGCGTACGCTGACTGGAAGTCGCCGCGACTCTGAGCGCGCTCAGCCTCGTCGATGGACGCTGCGCATTTTCTACTTTTCTCGAGCTGCTCAGGGCCCACCGTCTCCTTAGGGTACAGCCTAAACACGTCCACAATCACAATCAGTAACCCACAAGCAAACACCACGCAAAGCGCAAAGTACATGCACAAAAGCAACTGGCGTCGTACTCGACAAGTGTCTCGAAATCTTGGGACGCTTCAGCACATTGTCCCAACATCATCAAGAGCTTCCCACGTTGCAGCATCCCCTGCTTGAACTTTGGGTTCACAAGGAGCGACGACGACAAGTCCGAAAGTGCGTGTGAGTACTTTCGTTCGCTCAAGTACGCGCGAAAGCGCTTGTACAGATGACGCTCATTCGTCGGCTCCATTTCAATGAGCTTCGACAGCAGCGATATCGCCTGCGATATCGACCATAATCATGACCACAAATTACAAAGGCACAACAAAACGTAACAATAGTAGTTAGATCAAACAATGAGCAATTTGCCGTCCACTTTAGATCACTCATTGGCGCTCTTGTCGTTCAAAAGCACTTTTGCTGCCACTTTTTAGGTCGCACCGTTTTCATGTCACCTTCAGCAAACGCATTGTCAGCAGCGACACGGACGGTCGAAATCGAATCAGGAGAACCGGACGCCACCTGTCGAATGTAATATTTACATTGATCCGAAATAGTATACAGACAGCTCAGTGGATAAATCACGAGATCGCGTCAGAGAATTATAACACTATGCGGATGACGTACGCTGATTGCATAGAGTGCGCTCAGAGCGCTCGTCACGACGCTCGCTAAGCGCATTGTACTTCAGTTCAGCCCTCGAGTACTATCCCCCGTCGTCAAAGAGGCGAATCGGAGACTGTAATCGACGGTCGATCGGCGTAAACTATTTGCAATAATGGCCGTTTCGCAATGTGCCACGTGTACTTTTCTCTATTTTTGGAATTGCGGACAGAGCGAGCAATCTGGACGACAGGTTTTTTATAACGAGGTCCGATTCTGAGCCGAATGACAAAACAAGGTCCAGACAAAAAACCTCAGAGACTAGCGACTCATGAATCCGGCGCAAAAAGTAGTACGTCTCGCGATTGGAGACCGGTCGAAATGCTCAGGATGGAGGCGGGCAGGCAGGTTTAGTCGAGATGCAGCAGACTTATTATGCGATTCGATTTGAAAAGTGCATCGGCAGTTCATCGTGCACAAGAGGAAGCAGCGCGATACAGAAGTGCCGATCAACGTTCTATACGTTCGCTCGATCAGAACCAGCACGCCGTCGGAATCGCGTATAGCGGGTTGATGGCGTTTTTACGTGCTGATTACTTGTGCGCCTCGAGGACACCTTCGCGACACTGTCGATTCTCAGAGTCCGTCAAAGCGCTTGCGGATGGCGACTGAGGCCAGTTGGGCTCCACGACAGTGCACAGACTTAGCTGAACAGACACACCTGATTTCTGGACGCTTTCGACACGAGTCGACTATCGGTTTTATCGCGTCGTCTAGCATGGAAACTGAATGGTGAGACTTGCCGAGCGCAAGTTCACACGTGCGTTGCATTGCAATGTGCGTTTATCGATAGGAGCGGTATCCTCGGAAAGGCGTGTGAACGACTGCGTATTGCATCGTTTTGTGTTATTCTTTGGTAGCGAATCTGAAGCAAAGTGAGCGTACACGTGGCACTGGTATGTATGCCCCTGAAGCTTCTAGCAGCCGAATCACAGCAGACGATCGATCAAGACAAACGCTTTACATAGCATTAGTAAGACGTCAAAAGGAAGCGACGCCAGACAGCGGTCCATCGAAGCTACCAACGCATAGTATTTGCGATCGGAAGCATCATTGCTTCATGTGACAGCCACCCTCAAAGCATGCATTCGTCATGCATGCTCTACTAGCTCCTGATCCACTTTACTCTCAATTGGTCAAAGTGAAGAAGTGACGCTTGAGAGAGCGTGAGCAGCATGTAGATTGTAGCCAACAACACCTGTCCTTATGCCGATGAGGTGCGAGTCATATATGGGTCGCGCGTCATCGCGACGTCTTTCCTGAATGAGTGAAGCAAGACATTTACGTCCACAGGAACTGATGGTCGAAATCGAAGCAGATGTGTATTACTTACTCGCAATAACTTCTTTGCTAATCGTTGTCGTCGTCGTTGTGTAGTTGTGGTTGTTGTGTACTTGCAAGCTTCGACCTTCGCTACGAGTCGTCCGCGAACTACCACGAAAGTGGCCAGACTAACAACTGAGAGACTCTGTTGAATGAATGAAGGAATGAACGAATGAATGAATGTCAATTTGTACAACTGAAAGACACGGGTTCTTCTGCACGACTCTCAAAGAACGACGACGCTATTGTCGCGACACGAAACGCCATCGACGAAGCAGCAAAGCACAATCGGGGAACACGAGTGACGAGAGGAGGTCGGACCTCTGGGCCGTTTTAATTCCATCATGTTCTGCATGTCGGACTGTAGCTATGTTCGAGAAACGATGGCCGTGACCATGACGTACGTGTGACCCCTTCAGCACTGTCGTTTCAAAACCGCTCAGTGCATTCCGACACACGGAATTCTGCTTTCTTCCTCCACTTCTCAAATCAGAGCTCGACTAGTGCAATTTCGTCTTGGTTTTATCAGCGGGAGGTCGCGCACGCCTCTGTCGTTTTGGCACTACACTACTCCGTCCCTGCACTAGTGTCAGTGGCAAGTCAGCATTCCAGACATTGTCTGGCTTCTCGACATCGATCGCCTTTCGCAGCCTTGTTGGACGACCCACAACAGTATGCAGTCGGGATAGCCAGACCCCACTTCCCCACAGTGCCACGGGCTCACCATTGCTGAATACCGATAACGCCTACGACCATCATGAAAAACAAAACGTCGTGCTGTGCGACAGCCTTTATGGGCTCCGATATTGGCGGTAAGGACCGTTGCAAATCAAGCGTTCATCCATCCTGCTTTATCTATCTGTCTATCTATCTGTCTGTCTATCTTGAGCAGACCCGCTCGCTCGAGTGCGTTGAATCAGCGTTTCAGCGCTCGGTCGAACTCGGGCATTACCCGACCGCGAGTCGAGCACGCACGCTCCACGTCCTCTCATTGTAAAATTAACCCCTTCAAACACGCCCCGCCACATCGACAAACCCAATCGGAAGGTTCGTCCATGCGCTTTCACCACCGCCACGCCGCAACGTCTGCTCCTGCCTTCAAGAGCCCGTTTGCCCCCTTGCAACTCGCCGCGGAAGATGAGACGCAACTTGAGGCCGTGGCCCGCATCTTCGTGCAAAACACCGTGTTGCAGTACGAAAAGTTCATGGCCCAGGACCGTCGACAGTTAGACGGCAAGTACTGGAAGTGCATCAAGCAAGAACGCGACCTTCGCGTGTTTCTCCAGCGTCGACGCAAAGACGTAGAGCGCCGCACGCGTCGACAGTCGCGACTGCGCCCTTTTCGACACCGGAGCATCGACTCTGCGAAGTCTCCGCGTGCCGACATGTACAACACGACCAGTTTTGGCAGTCGCGACAGCAGTTGCAGCAGTAGCTCCAGTTTCTTCAGTCGTGGTACCGGCAGCTTCTCGAGCACATACAGCAACACCAACAGCTCCGATTGTCGATCCACGACGTTCAGTAGCGACTCCAGCATTGGAACTGGACCGTCCACATTACAGGGCGTCGAGCTGCCCATTTTGCAGCTTGTGGGTTCCGTACCAGGTTCGCTGGACGACGCCATGTACGGAGCTCTCGGGACTTCGGCTGACGCGATGCGGGTGCAAAGTGCGTTCGAGCGCGACAATGTCACGGACAATGCCGTGTTGGCAACGATATTGACCCCCACAACGTCTGACCCGTTCCGGTCATTGTCGATCAAGTGGATGGAAAACGCGGGTCCGACGATCGACCATCACCGGTACCACCCGCTGCATTATCCCGTGACGCTTCCAGGCGCTGGGACTCGAGAGGATTTGGTCTTTCTAGAGGCTACGGGCACAACGACGTTGGCGTCCGGGGAACGCGTTGGGTATCAGTTGCGTCACTCGGTTCACTTTCCGCAGACCCACAGTCGACCGAACGTACGACGTGGGAACTTGTCCACGTGTACGCTCTTCCGCGATGGCAATGCCATCATTCCGGACGCTCACGAAGGACCGCCTCGTGGCTCCGTCGAAGTGTTTGCACGCGCCTGTTTGAGCGGTGGCAACGCTGCAGTGCGTTCGGCTACTGCTGCGATGGCAGCCACTGGTGTGTCTGTGCTCTGTGGACGGATGAAGAAGCTCGCGTGGATTCTGGCCCAGCGGCACCCCCCGACGCCGTCGTTGATGGGCGTTGGCCATCCGCAGGCAAACGGGTCGGCACTTTCACGCACGCTTCCGCCATGCAAAGCTCGACATGGATCGCTCACTGTTACGGTCTCAGCAGCTGCGGCAGCAGCGATGGCAGCACCGGATAGCAAGTTGTGCGTAACGTGCAAGAAGAAGGGGTCGTGGTTCAGTGTCCCTGGCAAGAACAAGACGAAGAAGACGAAAAGGCACTCGACGACTACGTGTCAATTGTGTTGGCGCTTCGTGTGCTCGTCGTGCCGGTTGAAAAAGACCGTCATGAGCTGCGTGACGGACTGCGGACGCGGCAGCGACCGACAGGCGACGCACGTCGTGGAGCGGGAGGTCACCCTCTGCAACGTCTGTGTGCACCAGTGTATGGTCGCAACCAGTGCTCGCGACGTGGCCCGCGAAGAGATCGAAGCGGACCCCAAGCGGTGGCGCTTTCCGTCCCCGACTCACGCCCGTGCGCGAACTCGGAGCGGGTACATGCAAGCGCACTTTCAGCTGCAGTGGACTAATGGCTCAACGCGCGACACGTGTGCCCAGGAGCCACGAGCAATGGCTTCGCTTCGGTCGAAACTTGCGGGGGGCCAGGCCGAAGTGTTTGGGCGCTATGCCTGAAGAAGACAAAGGCGTTGATGTCGACTACAAACGAAATGCAGATCGATACACACACACACACACACACACACTCGAGCACGAGAGTGGCGCCTCGACGACCGAAGCGCAGGTCCTGTCGAGTATCTACGAAGCGCCACCTGCAAATGTCGTCGTGCCTTAGAACGAGAGCAGCAGTTACGAACGATAGTAACTCACATGGAAATATATGCTTTCGACCTGTTTGATTTCCCATTTCTCTCTCGTGTCTGCTGTCTGTTTACTTTTCGCCTACGGAGGCAGCGCCAGCCTGTGGGTGGCCTCCACGTCCAGCTTCAAGTGCCTGCGCTCCAGCAAACGCACTGATGCGTCGACTCGCAGCTTCAACTTCAAGCAAATCGCCCGTTTTCCGACGCAATATGTTTTCTCGCTGCAACGCATTCGGCGGACATCCCGCGCGCAGAGCACATTTGTCGACAGACGTCTCATGTCGTTCGCCCTCCTCGAAGACGACGATGAGGTGTTCTCAGCGGTTCTCGCGCTGCTCGACGAGTCGATAACGGCACCTGAAGCGTCAACATCTTCGACCGCATCGTCAGCTCCCGATCCGGTAGTCGTTCATTGTATGTCTTCTCCGCTCACGACGCGGGCCGCCTTTGATGCTGCGCGTCCCGTGACGTACAACTCGAGCAGACATCGCAACGGCGCACGCGAATTGCGTCGTCAGGAGGTGCAGTTCCTACGTACAAAGGTCACGGAGCTGGAGACGCAGCTCCGTGCACTGCAACAAGCGGCACAAGAGCGGGCGCAGGTCACCCAAGTTCAAGTGGGGCGAAACGACGGGGAGGTGTCGTCAGTTTTGATCAATGTATGGAAAGACCTGGCAACGCGGCAATTGGACCAACGGCTGGCCTCGGAGCGGGAACATAGACGGCTCAAGAGTGCAGTGGCCGACCAGAAGACCTTGCGTCAGATGCTGCAACGAGCATTGAACACAAGAGTGGCACGACGTGTAGGAACGAGGCTTAGAGGTTGCAATCGGTGCGAGCCAAAGTGGGGTAGTAACTTCGCTTTTGCTGTTCGCTGTGATGATAATATTTATACTGCAGGTGATCGATGCTAGTTTGCTGCAAGAGAAACGATCCAGACGCGTGCACAACGTGGCGTTAGAATCCGCGGACCAGGAGCTGTTCGCAGAATTGAGAGCTGGCGTGGATTTAGTGTACCACGAAGCAGCAACAGTCTTTTTCCAAGTGGGCGCTGGAGATGTGTCGTCTCCGGGCGTGTTTGGCGAGAAGACGCTGCCATTTGATCTATGCACGACGGCAGATGCTGCATGGAGGTGTTTAGCACACTCGTTTCACCATGAAAAGTGTACGTTTTCGTTCAGCAGAGGAAACGATTGGAGCGAATTGGCCCATGACACGACTGTCGGGGAAAGCTTTGGTGTGGAAATTACAGTTGCGGAAAAGACGGCAGACTTTCGAATCAAGCAAGTATTTCGACGATATGTGGAGTCAGATCGCAGCGTGATTGCGTGGAGGTCGTACATTGACCCAGCAAAGTTTAGAGACCAGAAAATCGAGGGCGTTCGCTTTCAGGAAAAAGGATCGATCGAAATTCGCAAGTTGTCGACATTACAGCCTCCTGGTACCGAGTTCACGCGATTATGTACCTGGCATATCATCACACCGGAGACGCTAACTAGCACGGAAAGGTCTCCGCTTCAGTTTGTACAGGAACTCACAAACTTTGTGCTAGGCGGATCATCGTCTGCGGGCACTGTCCAGATGATTGAGAACATGCTGATGGAGCAGTCTAGAAGTAGGAGTACTAGTTGCGTTGTATAATGCTGGAATGTGCGATGTATCGATGCAATAAACGGGGTTTTCAACGTGCGCTTTGTCCTCTATTCTGTTGCAAAACTTTGCTAGGGACTAGAGAAGCGAAGGGTGTTTGTGAATCAGTGTCTGCTTCTTCAAGACCGACTACACGTAGAAGATCCATTCTGTACAAGTTCTCGCCATCTATCTAGTACAGTGATGGTGACATCGGTTGTGATTATTCATTGAGCGTGATCCATCTTGTCTGTTCACCCTACTGCACTACGAGCAATGTGGATGATAGCAAATGCAAGCGATTCGATAGGTGAGCTGCATGCAATCAAATGCTCGCTTTCGTTTTGTCTGCTCTTGTGATTTCTCACCAGAAAATGAAGCAGCTTAGTCGTTATTTTGGGTTGTGCAGAGCGTCTGACGAACACAAGATCAAATGTTGTTGTCAAAGAAATAAACGCTGAACTCTTCGCCAAGTCGTTGTAAGCCAGAGCTATCAAGTCGGATGTCTTTTGTATGATACACCTCTGTTAGCAAATAATCATGTGACTTGATGCCTAAGTAATGCGTACACATTGATGACACTTTGTCCAAGTGTGAAGAGCTGGATCAATGTATAGTGAGGAAGCAATGATACATTATTTTCTACCTCAAGTTCGATACTAGCATCATCACACGAGATTTCTGGCGCTTACCACAGGCGACTCTGTCGGTCATCTTTCTGGTTGGGTCATTCAATGACTGCGCGATACCTCCTGTCATTATCTGTCACCGATAGAGAAGAAACGGACAACCGCAACTTTATACACTGGTAGTGCTCGTATCGATTATTCCAGCATGCATCCATTCGCGGGTAGACGTTAGCTTCAGTTCCTTCCTCACCAATATTCGGTTTTCTTTGGTAGCAACTTATCCGAACAAAAAAGCGATCTTTACATTGCCAAATCGATCTTCGCATTACAAATCGCAAAGAAGACGGACCGCTGGTGCCGTGAATGTGCTTGGACCATTCGATTTTGGCCGCAGCTTTCAGGTCCTACGTTATCAACATAGCTCATCGCCAATCCAAGCTGTCTTGGGCAAAATCTTTGTAGGATCAGCTCGCGATAGCGCATACACACTATCTTGGTTGCACACGAAAAGAGCTTTCATACGCTATGTGAATGCGATTTTGCCACATAAATTACTTGTTTGCTCGTGAGCGGATTCTGATGGTCGAAGTTGGATCATGTGGAGGGAATGATTGCTTCGACAGTGACTGCTTGACCGCTTGTTTGTAGGTTCGATGATAACACTGACTACACGCGCAGGTTCATGCATTCAAAATGTCAATTCGATCGCTCGAACGAACGTCGCCACCGACGAAGACTCGTAACTATATCTAGCTAGACATCAGTGTTGACTCGTGCCACAAAGTAATGCTAGAACGGTGTTCAGTTATTGTAAGACGCACCGGAGGTGGGTGAATGCTAGCCGCAACCTGACGTTTATTACTCGTTGAAGGCGGGTACGCGTATATTTGTGCACAATTCTAAGGCAAATTGCTTTTTCTTTTGTCGGCTCTTTAATTCCAGCGCACCACCGTTGGCGGCTTGTAGCGCGGAGCGTATGTTTCGTCTTTGATGATTTGCTTCTTCCCTACGACATGAAGGCTTGTACGTATGAGGTCGAACGAGGACGTGATATTTATGCTAGCGAAATCAAAAAAAATCTCCTCGTGTCTTCGTCGAATGGTAGCGACATATCTCGTCGGTTTGCTTTCTTACGAAATCATTGTCAAAGGTTATGCATCTCGCCCCCTCCTACACAACCTACACGTCGAGGCATTCTTACAATATCAGCTAAGATAAGCAATGAGGCGAAAACCGATCGGCTGTACCGATGCATTCTACAGAACTTGTCTCGATTGTTGGAGGCCATGTAGACACGCATTTCTGACTGTACCTTTCATATGACCATGCGCAGCCGGCTAATAGTGGTTTCATTGCCTTTGCACTAATTGCGTCGCCACAGTGTGCGATGGTATATCGCTCATTAAATAAGACATGTAATACAGCCTCCTTATCATATAACGCTACACCGCGGGACGGCATCTGCTACGGAATCTACGCTGACTGGATCGCTGCAAACTGCACTATCGAATGTGATCGACACGATGCCATTTAGCGCAGGTAGCGGCTTTAGCAGGATGTAAAATTGGACGACAATGATAACTTATGACCAACAAGTCAAAATGCTACATTTCTTTGTGTTATAAAAATAATTACTTAAGTATTTATTTATATTTTTATTAGTGATTGGTATTTTCTTACCTAACAATTGTAAATATTAAAACTTCTGAAATTACATAAAAATAATGCGTAATTTTTATCAAACATATAAAATATAAGTGTTGTATAAACATTTAATCCTCAAATAAGCAATTGAGGCTATTGAGGCTCAAAATGCGCCAAAATGGTACTTCACCAAAAATGAAAAGTTGCGGCTTACCTTGCTCGATAGTCTAAGCTCAAATACGCTTGATGCTGACCAGTTTATCTGATGAGTCCAATACGTTGTGCCTCAAGTGGAAACAATGCGTCAGTCAACCAAGCAGTGACGATTAAGCTTGCGCATCTTGGTCAAATAGAAGCAATAATATACTGAAGGTCTATACCGTAGATATCCTTTTGTTGGTCGTGACTTCGAGCAGGACAGGCAAATCAGTGCGAGTCATTTTCGCGCATTCGGGCGTGCATTGGCAACAAACACCCTTTCAGCTGAAATATCTATAACGATTGATGTAGTGCACAAAGGAGAACAAAGTAAATGCGATCCCATGCATTCCGAGAGCTGCACCTTGAACAGCCCCATTCGACATCAACACCTCTCGCCGGAACATGAAGTATTGAACGCCGTCATGAAGGCCCGGACGGGCAAAGTAAGAGTAATAAGAGCTTAGTGCTCCCTGTTCTTAATCGCTTTGTACAGAGGAGCGTGAGTACTCGCAGGGCCCATGCTTCTCTGTACAAAGTGCCATGTGCGTTCTTGCTCATTCTTCGCGGGGCTCCCAACAGATTCGATCATTTCCAGTGATCAGAAACTAGTCTTGCTTTACTCAGCTACTGTTCCAACGTTCAGTCAAGCATGCGCGCTATCTTGAGCATGCAAGAAAATCACTTTCTTTCGCGTAAAGCCGTAGAACAAGAAACTACTTTTCGCTGGACTACGACTGCACGCGCAAGATCACTGATGAAAGTATTGAGGCGGTTGTTGATGTGGTATTGCAAGATCATCGAAGACGAAGTACGTACGACAGCAGATCTAACAAGCCGAGAGTTGCGTGGTGAGACTCTTCTCGTATCGCATAGCGAAAAGGCCATAACAGAATAGATCCGCTCAACGTTTATCAGGAAGAAGAAAAGACAGGGCTACGGTACTGAAGTTTGGTGCGGCTGAAAGAGGAACATTGGACCTGGGTGGTGCTGTACAGACAAAGCCGACCCATTTGCAAAAACGACTCGACACCAATGCTTAGTACGAGCCACAAACCATGCAGCAGATGCTAAGAACAGTCGTTTCTACGATCTGGTTTCACGTAACAGTGAGCGCGGAATGAGAGCTTGACAAGCAAGAAACAGTACCGCAGAGCACGATATTGACTTGCTAGAGCCACCTCTGCTCAGCATGTTTTATCGAAGCTATTTCGAAATCCATTAGCAAAACGACTTCTTTCTTCTCCCTCATATCTCAGCATCCAGCCGTGAAGCGCTGGAGACAAAGTTGACACGAAAGATTCTTGCTCTTGCACCCATCGTTCAGTCATGGTCTACGAGAAGATCGAGCCAACTGGCGTGTGTAAACGGTGTTGTCCCTTCGTATTTTCCTCGCACGTAAGCGAGCCCACGAGATTAGGATTTCCTCAGAAAATCTTCCACTCAGAAACGAACACATGTCGATCTTGTGGTCGGCTCGACGCGTGAGATAGAATCACTATGTTTCCACTGACACCTTAGTCGTGTTCGGCCTTGCATGGCGACACCGAATGGCAACGAACAAGTTGACAGCTTTCGAGATCATACGATACCTGCGTTGGCGCTCCAGTCACTGCCAAGAAACATATAGTATCGTTTCTCTCGGCGTGTTGTCGTTGTACTTGTAACGAAGAGAGTGAAGTCGCTCTGTCGCGTCTGCGGGCTCAGCAACTGCCGACGGCTACTTACATAAGTGACATGCTCGTCAAATTTTGCGTGGTGGTGATACGAGAGGGTGTCATCCAACAGGAGACAAACTGAGAAAGAGCATGCGAGTCCTGCTTGATTTCGTTTGTAATCTGTGGAGCGAGTACGAGGGATACGAGCACGCTAAAGCGCTTGCGATTCTTATGTTGAACAACAGCAGCAACACAACGGGAATTTCGAGCTTGCACCTGTGAGGAGAGCACTATTTGCAATGTATTAGTGCATCCTACCCTGTGCTATTTCCTGGCTTGGCCGCAACGAACTGAATCCTATGGACGTATTGATGCATGTTTCTACCCGCTCCGATATGTCAGCTCTGGGTGCACCATCATCATACGACGTCACGACGCACAAACTTGAAGGACACTCATTGTCGTATCGACAAGGTCGCAGCCTATCCCTGGAAAACCCCGACTCCTTTACTCACCTCGTGGCTAATTGCTGCTACCGGTGCCAGAACATTGACGGATAGTTACGTCCATAGCACGTAGTATGAACAAAAACGATTCCGCGCAAGCACTTTTCAAACAGCACCGTGTGAGCTTCGGATGGAGATGTCCTTGTCTTGGTAGACGTTGCGCTCTCAAAACACCTCCGATCAAAAGCTTCTTGAATTCATTTACGCCCGACTATGCCGGCGAACCGGCTTTAGAAAGGCGGAATTGATTCGCATAAGCGAAAGCTCAAACTTTACGTGACCTGATAAGCTCGTGAGTGACTGATCTGACCTGGCCAACAAGTACCAGTTGCTTGTACATATTTCTTCTACTTGTGATCTACGTGCGTACGTGTATCGCCATACATGGTCTTCGCGTGTAATCAAGCTAGTCCCAGTTCTAAGTATTGTTGAATCGTGCGATCCGGGGCCTCGATCTTGCCTTTTGATCGCAGCATTACTACCAGAATGCCTATCAGCTGTATGTGCAAGGCCAGCGACGTTACTACAAACTCTTTCAGCTAAATAAAGTCTTTGGTCTCTTGTTGTGTCGTGTGCGCTGATACTCGTGCCTTTTTGCGATCTTCCTTTCCTAGTCTGCGCATGGAAATGGCGTCAAGTGATAAGGGAGCTTCTCGCTTATCGAGGATAATCGTCTCATTACATCTCTGTGTCATTTCTGAGCTAAAGAGGTCTACTCGATCGCACTGCGTTCTCGGCGCCACTTGCTGACCGTTTCAACATCCAAACTACATTCAAGTTTCCGAAAGCATCGCGCAGCTGTCGTTGGAATGTTCTCACACTCGCGGGTCCTCCGTCCAACTACGACCTCCTCCTTTCGATCGAAACTCACTTGCCGTTCAACGTCAATTGTAGCGTCGAGAATTGGGCGATAGGTAGAATGACCGACCTGGCAACAACTAGACGAACGCTGAAAGTGGCTCAGCTTAGCCGCTTGCGTGATTCCGCAGAAGGACCAACGTTTGATTGCATCTTGATGAATGCCGTGGGAAACAAGAAGTTAGTTTCATCTGACACGCATAAAGTGACACCGGGTTCCGATCAATCGGAGGTTTTGCATTCATGTGGCCCGCGGCCGAGACCCAACAGCACAGGCGACACAAGCACCTCACAACATCGCAAGCACAACGCTACACGCGCCTCATCGCAATTACAACAACCAGCCTTCTTTCTCGAATGAGATTGCGTGTCCGGTCCTTTCAACGAAAAACTACGTGAATAGGTGTCGGACTTCATGCTCGGCGCAAGGCTCGCCTTTACAAACAGTATGCGGCTGTAGTCGAGGAAGCCCCGTCTGTCGCGTTGCTAAAGCACATCATCCATAACATTCTACAACAGCCACCGACATCTGATCGTCGACGTCCGATCGTTTCGTCCGTCCGTCACCCGTGCGCCCAGTCTGGAGCAAATCCTGAAACCAGCAGTAGATTCGTGCAAAAGTCCTGGAACCAGCACCAGTTCTGAGACGAGCCAACATAGAGCAAAGTTGATGTGAGCCACACCATTTATTAATGAGGACCACTCAATTTATTTGTGTGGTGTACTGGTAAAGTAAGAATTATGTAGAAACACAAATTAATACACCACGGTTTCTAACAAAATGGCGATGATTGATATGGAAGAGACTACGGTACCAATGTACTGTTGAAGGAACACATTTGCCAGACGGGCGTTGCTGCAACAGTGTTTATACAGGACTACTATTTTAATCAAAATCGACAGTACAAGGTCAAGAGGTGTAGTGGTGGGAGCAAAACGAATGTGTGCCCACAAGACGGGTGCCCGTGGGGCGTCAGTATTCGTGATGAATACAGTGATGTCCGACAGTGCTATAGACGAATGCCATTCGCGTGGGTCTATTGCCTTCACATCTCAATTGAATATGCTATGCATATCTGTTGTAAAGAATGAATTCAACAAAAAAATTGCCATGACGTTGCTTTAAACATGCTTGCTATACGATTTTACTATGTCGACCATCATAGCTTTCGTGTACAGGAATCACAATATGTAAAACATCACGAGTACAAACTTGCCGGCTCTACAATGACAATCCCCTCTCCTTTCACTTGCGGACATCCCTTGCTTCAATCATGAGCATCTTAGACGCTTTTAGCACGTACTTTGTGCATCGGACCTTCCGTCTGAGCTCGGTGCTCACTTATTGCGCCGGCATTAAGCAATTTCAACGACTTTCCCTTGTTTCGCGACTTGATCAGCCCTTCTATCCGATACTTGGTGGCAAAACAAAGAGCAACGACGTCAGTACCACGTCAAACGTACATCTGGACTGGCGTCGACTGTTCGCAATCGACCTGCAAAGTATCAAACGAGATTTTAACGATCTTGACAACGTACAACCTATTACACGTTGCAGGCATGGAACAAACAGCAATAAACAGCTTATCAAATTGTGTCATAAATACAATTGCGGTGTACGTCGACCTTCGTACCTACGCACAGTCTATTGGGTTGTCTATTGTCTGCTGATCACGCGCTGCGTCCCCTCCTCTGTCACGTGCATAGAAACAAACATACACTCAGCAACCTTTTCTAACAGAACGTGCAGATGATATACCATTAAGTACCTTCTCAGCGCATGGCTTGCTTCCATGCAAGGATGATAGTGCCATAGTCAGCAAAGCAGAGGCCTTTGACCTTTTTCGTAGGCGCTCGTGGGTCGCAATATGAACAATGAGTCGTCCCTTTGCCAAATAATGTCTGCCCAATGAGATCACACCATCAATTTCTAAAAAATGGAAAGCCTCGCAACCAATCACGCAGTTTCAATCATCGAGGCAGTTGGGAATGGTATGGCCTACATAAACTGTGCTCTATGTTGGCTCGTCTCAGAACTGGTGCTGGTTTCAGGACTTTTGCACGAATCTACTGCTGGTTTCAGGATTTGCTCCCCAGTCTGGGCATTCCATCTGTCGGAGAAGGACACAGACAGGTCTATACCGAGCGACAAAAGGACCACTTGGCCGCAGACATGAGTGGCCGAAACTGGATGACGTGCCCTGTGTGCAGCCCGCAGTGCGGTCTACGTTCGCGATCGTTCATCTCGCCCATCAGGTCGTACGATTGAACGGTGCGATGAATCGAGATGTATACATGTCAGCCGCCGGTCGAGTGACGAAATCAGCACATGAGCTACGAGGTGAGGAGAGTAAATTCGGAGCACTTCGTAGCGATGCTGCGACGTTGTTCATGCAACAAAGACCGTCACCAAGTTCGTAGTGCAACGTCGTACGGCATTGTTGCAGTAGCTTGAGACTCGCACAGCTACTCGTGTGATGTGCTGGAAAGAGAGTCTTTTTCGTGCTTTTTCTTGGCAAACGTTGATCCTCCCTCGTTTGTGCTGACTCTTTTGTCAAGCAAAGACTGCTCTCATCTCAGCACAACGACGTGGCGTTGCAGCGCGAGAGATTAGCCAAAACTGCTGGTAGCAATCGAGTCAGTCGGCACAGACCTGCCCGCAATCAGGACCGTAGAGCGGTCATTGATCAATTTGCATCCGGGCGAAGAACTTGAATAACTAAACCGTTGACCATGCGCTTCGTCGTGTCCGTGTTTGCTGTTGCAGTCACTCTGGCCGCTGCTACCATCTCTGCCTCGTCGTCCGAGCCGCTACGCTCATCACGCACATCGTCTCCGGTTGACAACGCATTGGACGCGAATGCTGGCAAGGAAACCGCTGCTGAGCGAAACGAACAGTCTGGCGTCGACATCAAGGGCGAAGAGAGGGGGTTATTAGAGGCCGTGTCAAAAGTTGGGGCCTCGTTTGCAGCCAAGTTCAGGAGTGGCGGTGGTGCCAAGCCTATCAGCTCCGTTGCACTTCACGCAGGGACGAAGGCCCCTACCCCCAGAAGAAGCTACTTACGTCACTTGTTCAAGACATATATGGGAATGGGAGGTGCTGTGACGAAAGGAGCTGCGGGTGGGAAGAGTGTTAGTGGTTTCAAGAAGTGGGTGTCAAGCCTTCTACGTCGATTTCGTACGAAGAAAAAAAGCGCTGAAGATGGAGGTGCTGCTGGAAAGGTCCCTGCTGATAAGACGCCTGACCTGCTACCGGTCAAAGAACCCGTTCCCATCATTAAGCCTCCGAAGTTGCCGGGTGAAACGACGACTGTTGGTGACAAGAAAAAGAGGGTCACCTGGAATGATGCGGAGCTTGTTAAATTTCCCGAGATTCCTGCAACCGCCAAGGGTACCTAAATCGGTAACTAAACGTTGCTCCATTTTTGGCAAATCTTTTTTTTATCTTGCGTGCGGGTGCTAAGATTACAACATACATGGTTTAGCTATGGGTAGTTCATAAAGCTTTAATGTACGTGCAATGCATGATCGTTATGAAGATTTCTTACTGTACGACACCATCAGTCGGACAACCGTCATTAGTTCTGAAGATGACTTCAGTGAGCGCAAAACATTGCTCCGTGGGTTCTCTAGTTTGCGATATACAGATCCTATATTGCCACACCTACAGCCAAAGGATAGACGACGAGCAACATGTAAAATTGCCCGACATAAAGCACAAGTTTGAATACAGCAACCTGTGATCAGGACTTATCGACGTTCTCGGCTCGTTTGGCTCGATATTCGTAGTATGTGTTGCTGCAAGGGCCTGTTCCATATCGTTGCACCTTTGACCAATCGTACAGACAAAGTGTTTGCAGTACAGCGACATGCCAGACACGGGTGTATCGTATTGCTCAAGCGACGAATCGGACGCCTTAGTCGGTTGCTTACATTGACACTTTGTGTCTAGCGCAGCATAAACGTTTTACAGCCCGAACGTCAGTTTGCCTTGTGAAAGCGTATGTTTATTTATCGAAAAAGCTTTGTTCCCGTCCCTAGTCCATGTGAAGACATATCCAGCACGAAACCGATTACCAGTCGAGTAACTCGACAAGCGCCGATCGTCAGATCGATTGATTTACGAAGCTAAGGCTTCTGCTGCCTCATGACCTGTGACGGAAGCAAGAGTTGCGGTCCACCCTTCGACTTGGCATTGCCGCCCTGCTTTGGAACCCACTTCGTCTGAGATCCTTGAGCACCTGCCTGTCTTGAAATCGGAGTGCCCTCACTTTGTGAAGCCGTTCCCTTCTTGCCCCTTCCACGAATGCTGTGCTTAGGCTCTGACCCACTAGGTCCGGTTGACGTCTGTGTACTCCCTTTTGTCTGGGTCTGATAGAGACGAGCAACTCCAACAGGACACTTTCCTTCATTCAATGGGGCCGGAAGTTGCGGCTGGGACGGCACGACCGCTCCGGGTTGGGGCACGTACAGGGGGGCATACGAACCGTCAGGCATTAGAATAAGCTGCGGTTTCTGTCCAGGCATAGGCGGCTGGGTCCCATAGTATACTGGAGTCGGTGGCGCTACACATCGTGACGGGACTACACACGGTTGGGAGGGCGATTGTAGCGAGGGTATACCAGGGAGTTTGTGTTGGTACGTGTCAGGAGACGGACCTATCACCGGGTCAGCGGATGCATCCACGGGAGGTGCCGGTAGCGTAGCAGCGGCTGCTGTAAAAAAAGCAGCAACGGATGGAGCCAGGTTTTGCTCGGAAGACAGGGGTGCCGGCGCCACTACCGACGACTGTAGCGATGACGATGAATCTGCCGGTTCCTTGACGCTGCATCGTGCTTTTTCACTGCACTGAACAGCATCTTCGCCGCCATGGCTCCACTTTTCGATAAGCTGCTGAATCTTCTCCGGGTCTGGGGGTGCTGGCATCGCGCTAGGAACTGGCGGCGGCACCAACGGTGCACGAGTCATCTCAGGAGCTATAGCTGTTGCCTTCACAAGTCTTTTTGGAGCGCACATGTTTGTGCTGATCGCATAATCTCCGCCCGAAGCACGTCGCGCATTTGAAACGTTTGCCCGTTGGCTATTTTTGTTCGATCCATGCTTCGTACGATCATTGCGGGCTTGTTTCGTGCTGCCTGGAGGAGCCGACACACAAAGCAGGCTGTTCCAGGCAACGACTTTGCCGCGATCAACGCTAGACGTTCCGTAAAGTGCCTCACCGCCTGTAAAGCTTTCATCAAAGAGTACCTCAACGCACTTACTGCTAACGTGAGTAGCCACAACAGTGCCACGGTGGCCGAACGGCACGCCACGCGCACTGATATTAATCACTCGGTCTCCCAAAATTGGCGCGCCTCGGTTTATCGACGACCGCTGCGAAACTTCGTGTCCCGTCAAGTCTTGGTTCACCAACGGGTTCGGACGAAATAGGTCCGCGGCTCTGGTTGTTATAACGATAGCTGCACCTCTCTGTTCCGTTTCAGTCTTCGCGCGCTCCGCTGCGCGCAAAGATCCTGCGACTTCCAACGCACGAACAGCTTTCGACGCAACGTAATTCGAAGTGATCGGAATATGCTTAGAATGCTCGCTTGCACCCAAGCGTTGTTGCTCAATCCACTGCTTCACTGCTCCTGCCTGGACCTCCACGAGTTCGTTGTCATCGACTCCGAACACATCTTTGCCTCGGTACGTCGTGGCAAAGGGTAGTCGGCTCAAGTTACGAACAACGTTGGGGAATTTGTCCTGGTAGGACGCAATGAGCTGCACCGCACGATCCGTGTACTCCCATATAGTGACGCCGCCGTTTCTAGTCTGCAAGTGTCCCGAATTTTCATCACCACTTTCGCTGCTACCGCGGCTGCCAACGATCTTTACAATGTCGCCCTTCCTCCACACATCAACTTCATTGCCACGACTGAAGGCGTTCTTGTCGTGATTGGCGAGTCTGCAATATCCGGGAAGAAGCAACTCCTTACGATAGCGGATGTTCAATCCGACATCAGCACCAACGGGCTTTATTATCACACTTCCGGTGAGTAAGCCCAATGTTGACGCAGAAATACCTAACTTTTGGGCTACCATGTAACCCGGAACGAAACGATCGGTGATCGTTTGCGCGATTACGTATCCAAACGGGGGTTCCTGATCGATTGTGTTCACATGAACGGTAAGAGCGTGGTTTTCTTCATCCTGTTCACGCACAATAGCCGTACAGCCCAGCCACTTGCCGTGTGTGATGAGCGCTTTTGAACCAACAGGAAAGCGCTCGTCCAACGATAACATTGCCGTTTCCTCGAAACGTGCATCGAGAAGCTTACGGTTACGGACAGTAAGTTGGGCAGGTACAAATGCCTCTGTCTCTCCAAACTTCTTCTCAATGGCACCTGTAAGTGGATTTGACACCATGCCCTGGAGAGGTAGCACATGTAGTACCACGGTAATTCCGGCTCTCCCCAAATCAATGCCGCCGCTGCCAGGAATGCCACGCCCGGACAGCAGCTTGACTACCTCAGTCTTTGCGTAATAGTTCCATGCGCTCTTCTCGTCCGAGCCGTATTGTGTAAACTCAATTTCGCTCGACTTGCGGCCACTGTTATTGCGCTTGCGACTAAACTGCTTCAGCCGATATTCTCCTGACGGTGTACTGATTCCCACAACAAGTACCTCGTGAAGGTTTGGCCAATTCGCAAGGACGGTACTCCCCAACAACTCACGCGGATTAATTTCATCTACGGCGGCGCTTTCTCCGTCGTTCAGCTTACCGGATGCCGGGAGCTGAAGAATCAAACTGGACTTACGTGAGCTCATTCCAAAACAATTCAACCTTACACTAGCTATGCGAGTACTTTCAAGCTGGACCGTGTAAAGCGACGGGAAGCCCGGAAGCGGCAGCACAACACCATCCATCAGCTTGCTCTGGAACCTGCCACCGGGAATAACTGGAAGATCGTACTCTTCCACTCGCGTATTGCAGTACTTCACATCAGGATATCCGACAGCACCAGGTAGGCTAGATTCGAGCGTGTCGAGCACATTCAAATCCCGCACGATACGAATCGGTACACGCTGCAGCTTGTTGCGCCGCCGCTCAACTTCTGTGAGCTCCGAGTCCGGGCAGTACTGGGCAATAGCCTGCTTGAGCAACTTCACGTCGATAAAAGGCAGTAAATTGACGCCTTCCCAAGCGTTTCGCTTGCCTTCGGTATCGATTGCAAACTTCTCTGGATAGAAATGTTTGATTGGTGACAAAGGCGAGAGCATTAAAAAGCGGTACGGCTTCGGCACGAGGTCGGCGCTAGAGGACGGCAGATTCGACATCAACTGCTCGAACGGTAGCAACGGGCCTGCTATCGACAGGTCTTCATCAAATACTACATTTGCAATCAGGTTCTCAATATCCGTCAAGTCAGAAACCATTGGTGCATAATGGTACGGGTAGTACCACGCCCATGACGGTGGACCTTGGTAGTAATACGCAAGACACCAAACTAATGCTTCCATGTAAGCTTTTTTCACGTCTTCCAATTCCTTGTTGGCAGCGTCACCATTGCCCCGCTTGATGCCGTACTTCCTCTCGTAATAAGTCCACTTTGTTTCCTGAAAACTCTCGCTGCCAACAAGCATCAACACTTCGCGATCGCTCTTCTCGAGTTCAAACAACAGTTTCGTGTCTTCGCGGCCGTCTAAAGCCTCCAGCAATGCCCGCTCAGCTTCTTCTTCGTCTCCATCGTCATCATCTACCAGCAACGGTGGACAATCAACATTGTCGTCGTCGCGGAGAGCAATAATAGCTTTCTGAACTTCCTCCGCGTCAACGTCGTGCTGAATCGATTGGTGCTTCTTGCCTCGCCGTCCAGATCGTTGTTTCTCCTCAGTCGCACGGTTGATTAGAATATTCTCCTCCTCATTGCCAATCACCTGGAAAAGCTCCTGCAGTAGCTTCACGTTGGTAAGGTTTCCGTTAAGCGTCAAGTAGCTTCCCTCGTGGGTCTCCAGTAGCTTCCGATACACTTTCAGCAGCAACGGAATCGCATCCTCACTGATCTCTAGTGTCGGACTATGAGGAATAAAGTCATTACCAAGCAAGAACGTCAACAGAATGAAATCATCCAGCATGCGCTCTCCATCCAGTGGCGCCTCGACGCGCATCTCTAGCATCAAGTACTCCCGAAAAAGACTCAAATGAACCAACTGCCACTGCTGCTCTTCAATCTGTTTTGCAGCCACTCGGTTGTGCTGCCGACCCCACACTACAGTCTCCCGCACGAGCGTAAAATGAGGCTCATGCGTCATGAGACCCAATAACATCAAGTCCGCGTCACTGCCGTACATGCAGTGCCGCACGTTAGCGTCATAGTCCGCCGTCATTTTCCGATGCCGAATAAATTCAACAATCTTGTGTTCCCCTTCTCCTGGTACTTCACTGCCACTGAAGAACACCTCGAGTCGCGCCCACAATGGATCGTCTTTCATCTTGCGACGGACGAAGTAGACCAAATGCTGTGACAACGTGCTCAAGAACGACGTGCCGGGCGTGATGCAATTCGAATCAAATGGATTGGATTGACCCTTTGTCTCGTCTCCACTCCTTCTTTCGTTCGTGTTGCCATTGTTCAGTTGAATCTTCAAGTGCCTCTCTTTTTCCATCGCCTCTTGGCGCTCGAGTCCCGCTCGAAAGCGACGCGAGCGCTGCTGGTTGAGCTTCGCACGCGGCGCGACGCCGTCAATTGCAATGTACACGAGCTGCTTCGGCTTGATAATGTGCGTGATGAGACGATCCAAGTACGTGAAAATGCCGTGGAGTTGCGCCTCGAGCGACTGCTGCGACAACACGGCGTCGGTTGCTGTATCCGAGTGGGTACAGTTGTGGATAATGCCGTTCATGTCGAGGTAAAACGCGTCAAACTCGGGCAGCAGCGACACGTCCGAGATGGGCTGGTTCAGCAGCGGATACCGCTCGGACATGTAGCGGTAGAAGCGCGGGATGCCCATGGCGAGACACGCAGAGTCACGAGGGGAGGGGGCTTTGCTTGCTGGTCTTCTCGTTCTTATGCTTGTGGGCGCTGCTTCTTCCGTCACTGGATAGGACAAAAAGGGGAGCAGCTGGCTTAGAAATAGAAACCAGCGGCGACGACGACAGGCGAAAGATCTTGTTCGCGCAACAGCAGCTTAAGTGCGCCTTTCGGACGACGCGACAAACAGATGAAACGATAGCGGATCGATTGGACACATTCACAATTTGATCCTTTCTTGATCTGAACTTTAAGATACGAGTATGCTAACTGTCCAGCCACGCTGCGACAAACATAGAGGGAACGCAAACCACGAACACGATATAAAAGTGTAGAAAGTAACTGTATCAGACGAGGATCCGGACTTGAACCCAAGTACGAAAAGCCATGCTCCACACAACACATGATGTGTAAAATCACGCATTTACACACAACGTAAACCATCACGGTGAAACACAACTACACCGCAAGTTCAAGGTCGACTTCGTGGTCGTCAAACTTCCAACAGTATGGTCGCGGAGGCCTGTATTCTGTGAAGGGTCGGGGTGCAATTTCATCGTGGCAATCTTAGATCGTTTCCTAACGCTGTGGAAAGTTGCCGTCAGGTTGAAGAGGTCAAGTCCTTCCGTCGCTGAGTTTCGCAACCGTCGCGCACATGTAAAAATAATGTGTTGATCTGACTCGCCAGGTGATCACGCGTCAAAAGTGTGCGAGCTGCATCATGTCCACAAGCACTAAACCATAATGTTAAACCTGTCTGTGACAAAAATAAGTTGAGCATACTCATATTTGCATAGCATAAGACATTTGCGTGCGCCGTATGCTGATGGGGACACAGTTACTAAGATGCACGTGCTATACGATAAAAGCCCGTTTCATGACAAATAATTTGCAGCAATTCCAATGCAAATAAACTCGATGCGAGTGAAACTCGGATGTTCGTTTATAGCGACATGTATTAAGCAACTTCTGATTCTTGGTTAATATGCGCTAATTTATTATCACAACAAAGCGTCCAAATTAGAACGAACGTGCGATAAGTGGTGAGAAGATAGATCCAGTTCATGTTTCGATTTCCCAATTGTTCAGATAGGTTTAACATACTTGTATCAATTTTCTGACGTTATATAAATGCACTTCCCTTTACCTCATACAAGCGTATTCTCGTTCGTCTATTGTGTCTTCAATACCTTGTGTACGTAAAATTTTGGGGCACCTGTTTAAACTCGGTTCGTGCAAATCTCGGCTGACTCACCTCACGGTGTGTTGGGACTCGGCTTGAGATGAAAATTACTATCCTATGCAAAACACAGGATAGCCGGCTTCAGAGGAGTTGAGAAACGCATCAAGAAAAGCTATAAAAAGCTTTGAATAGTAAGAAACGTGCGTAGGGGATAAGAGAATGCCTACGTGAGTGCTGCTGCATGCTCAGCTGAGTCGTAGAAACTTTTAGAATGATAAACAGACTTCTTGTAATCAGCTACTGTGGAAGTGCCGAAAACAAGCACGTCATTTATCCATCGGGTACCGATTCGACCCCCACCACACTGACCGCCCGTCATGCGACGTCCCCAAGACGGACATTCATGCTCCGACCGTAATCGCTGACTGTTTGAGAAGAAGAAAAAAGGCTGCGATCGGTCTCGTGCGTCTCTTGAAAATAATAAAAAAATGCGTGTCGATCTTTCGACGCGATTTCTGACCTGTTGAACTTCGAACTTCGAGTTGCAAGTTGGATGTTAAAGACGACTGTTGGTTGTATGAGCCAAGACGACCGTTGGAATATTTCGTAAGCGGCGACGGGGCCAAAACGACAGTTGGAAGGCGACAGGGCCCGTGTGACGATAGTGGCGGTTGTTCTTGTAGTAGGGAGTAGTTAGTGATGCACCAACAGGAGCAGTTAGTGATGCACCAACAGGAGTAGCCAAGGTGCATCGTATTTGTACAATCTTAGTTCAGTAGTGAAAACACACTCAAGGGCTCACATCTGCTTTTCGTTTTATCCTTAATCAATTTAACAGGGTCATGAGCCCAAAATACACAGGAAATTCATCGAAGGAAATGTTAAAGCAAAAGTACACGAGCGAAGGAATTCCGATCGAGTGGGATGGGTGTGATTGGCACCTTTTACAAGCTAATTTTGCGAAATGTCTTCGAGGACCACAAGATGAGTGGAATGATAGATGAGCGGTACGACAAGACAAAGCTTATGACGTCAGAAGGCCAAGAAGCTTATGATCAACTCCAGATCAGGGCAAAGCGCTACATCTTCACAAGTTTGTCACGTGACCTGTTGCATCAGGTACGTGAACATAAGACAGCACCAGAACTGTGGAAAGCCTTGGTGGCTATCTATAAAGACAAGTCGGACCCCACTGTTTCCGGACACCGTGTCCTGCAGCTGATTCATGAGCTTTGGATCGCAAATCTGGAGGAAGATGGGAACGTAAATGCGCACCTGTCGCGCATGTTTAACCTCCACCCGAAATTATCTGATCTCCAGTATACCGTCAATGAACTCGATATGCGAGAAGCTGTGCTGGCAAGTTTACCTACAACGACACAATTAAACCAACTACGACAGACAGCATGGTCTGCAAGTGACTCAGCAGCATACAGTCCAGAGAAAATTCGCGAGCTCATTCGGACAGCCACCGCTCTTCATGAGGAGACCACAAGCGTTTTTGGTATTGGTGCCCTAATGGGCGGGAGGAGTAAAGACTTGGATCGTCAGCGCGACAGAAAACCCCGACAGATCATGGACAGCAAAGGGCGCTACAAAGAAACCTTCAAGGCGAAGGACTACAGGAAGAGGTGTTACACGTGCGGCAGTAGTGAGCACCTTAAGAGGGATTGTCCAGATCGTGATAAATACGGCAAAGGTGCAAATATGGTGGCAGCAAAAGGTTTCGTTCGCCGTGAAGGCACCTGGAACATGGCAACGAACCTCACGCACTGTGACGTGCTTAAAATATTTGGAGAAGATCAAGACGTAGGGACCCTGGAATTAAATCACGTGGACGAAGCTCAACAAGACAATGACCCACTTGCCAATAATATTGAGATGCAGGAGTGGTATATTGACACTGCATCCAATACACATGTGGTGGGAGACAAGCGGTACTTTATTCGTTATCGGGAGCTCTCTCGCGATGAAGCAACCGTGCGTGGAGTTGCACCCAGCTTTCAGGAGCAACCAGTCGGAGTTGGATAATCTTACTTGAGTCGTCTGTTGCTGAAAAGACAGTGCTTACAGTTATCGACGACGTACTACTCGTTCCTGGCGCTAGAAATCCGCTGTTTTCGATGGGGCGTGCGCTTGACGATGGATTTCATTTTGAATGGGACTCCACTGCGCATCGATTTACCATACTGAAAAATAATAAATCGGTGGCACTAGCCGACAAAGTCGGAGCAGTATGGGTATTCGAGGGACAAGTTGCATTAGGTAAACGGATCAAGACACATCCAGAAACGCGCGTGATAAACTTTACGGCTCAAGATGGTGTTGGAGATCTACAATTGTGGCACAAGCGTTTGGGCCACATATGCCCTCAGTACATCAAGTTGATGGTTGACCGAAAGCTTGTTGACGGAATGATGCTATCCGGACGTGACGTAAAAAATTGCGAGACATGTCACTTGGCAAAGCAAGTAGGAAGACATTTCAAAAGAAACTTGATCGACGCATTGTGAAGCCAAATCAGCTTGTATATATAAATTTTTCGGTGCCAGGCGTAGTAGCGACACTCAAATTGGTGTAGTTTTGGTGACCATGGATGCTTACAGCAAGTTCGTTATAACGTACATGCTGCGAACAAAAGCAGCAAATGCAGTAGCCGCAGCGCTGAAACAATACATTGCTTGGGTTGAGTGACAAGCTTGTCGCCATGCCACCGGAGAAAGTGTCGGAGCGCAAATTGCATATCCTGTTCGCCAGTTGCTGACGGATAAAGGAGGAGAATTTGCTAGTACCGAGTTTTCACTGTGGCTAGAGATCGAGGCATCGAGCATGTACAGGTTAGATCTTCCAGCTCGCAGCAAAACCCCTGCGAACGTGTGCACGGAACACTAATGGAGATGACGCGTGCAATGTTAGAGCATTCATGAATGCCTCGGATTTTTTGGACCGATGCATTTCAATACTCGGTTTATATCAAGAACCGGACATTCAATCGAGGATGTAACAGCACACCGTACGAAAAGATGTTTGGCATGCGGCCAGACATTCATCATCTTCGCACGTTTGGACCTTTGGCGTATACTCACGTTAGATCCGACGCACAGCGTAGCAAGCTTGATCGTCACGCCAAGATCGGATATGTTCTGGGATACGCGGGCCATGTATTGGGTTGCAAGCTCTATTTTTCCGATGGTCGTACGCGAAATTTTGTACCAGACATTCGCGTAAATGAGCACGTTCTTTATCGCGACCGCCACACCACCACGGCCACACTCTCGGACGCCAACAGCGATGTCAATGCAAGTATCGAAGAGAGAGATTATGTTGCAGAAAGTGAAGCCACGGACAGCATTATTGAAGATGCCGAACTTAATGTCGAGAAAAGCGTTATTGACTACGACGACAGCTTAACCGATGCACAAGACGCGGATGAACAAGACAGTGTTTGGACACGGCCGGTAGGTTATCGTGGCGCAGTTGACTCTGTCCATAAAAATGTGGATGACTTTGGGGCTGGTGCATCAGAATGTAGGATCAGTAACATGGCTGAACCTAATGGCGACTTGAAGGATGAAGATGACACTTGCTTAAGTGGCCAAGTCGAGGAGGATTTACAAGGTGGTATGAGCCATACCAGCTCACACACCAGTTCAATTGACGGCGAACAAGGCTCGGTTGAGTATGATGCAGACATTGACACGAAAAATGTTGGTAGTGCGGCAGAAATAGCAATTTAAGTGGAACCTACGAAACGCAAGCGTGCACAGCTGTCGTCCACAGGATATATCACTGGTGAT